GGCCTCAGCCCATCGATCCAGCCTGTCCACAGGCCTAACACACTGGAGGATCTGAGCTTTATACTTTCCAGATCTCAGTTTTTTGCACTTGCAAAATGGAGGTAATGTTCTCATAAATTATTAAAACCCAGGACAACCCTGAAACTTCCAATAAAACTCCGCAACTGTGTTGTCTCCAGTTTGTTGCCATTTCAAGGGGTCTTATTTTATGAATATATTATTTTTCATCTAAGAACAGGTCCAGTGTGCATATGTGGAAGTAACTGTTGTCTTACCATATAACCTCTGGAGAGGGAAACGCCTTCACTTTCATTGACAAACGATAGGATTTTCTTCCAGCTACAGCCTCCAGTGTGGTTTTTCTTCGACGTTTCAAATTAATGAACATTTTATCTTAAAGAAAAGAAAGAGAGTACACCTGTATTACTGATTGTCAACCTGCAAAAAGAGTTGTTCTACTAAAAAGAACAGGAATCCAAATAAAAATTATCTTTAATAATTTTGGTGTTCCCATATGGCAACAGCAAGAATAAAGCCTAACCTCCTAGAGATCTATAAAATAGAGATGATACCACAAATATACAAGAAACTGAGATACAGTTCCCAGGCCATGAATCTACCTGGAGAAAATACACTCTAGACAAATTCACATTGTGCTTCAGTCAGAAAAAAAGGCATAAGAAATAAGGTGGTTTGTGGTACATGGGAAGCTGAACTAGATGATCAGGTGACCCTTCTACTCCTAAAGGCCAAGAATCAACGAATGTGCCAAAAAAAAAAAAATTCTGCCAGAGAGGATTTAAGGGACCTTCAGAGACACAGCAAAGGAAAAGGCAGAAACTTTCTGTATCATTGGTAAACAGCTGTTTCATGAAGGAAACAAATCTTTATCACTTCATTGGAACAACCTCAACCTGCTGGAATTTGTTTTTTTCCAGTTGTACTGCCGTTTATTTCAAACTCTCTGGCAATTTGATGGGTTTTACTAGGTACAATAAAACACAATGTTCATACAATACACTGGAAAATGTCCTTTTTTTTTTAACCTCAAACTGCACTAGAGCAAAATAAAACATTCAAAACATGAAAAATTGTTTGAGTGTCCTTTTGATAGTATCTATGGTGCAATATTTACTCACATTATGGACTGCATAAGGATACTGAATATCTATTAAACAAGTGCAATATTTAGTCACATGTGCCACGTACATTGAAAATAACATGCACAAGACAAAACAGTAGTTTAATTACACGAGTCAAGTTATAGATACAACCCTGATTCTGCAAACCCTTATTCACACAAGCACTTTCTCATATGTGTATCCCATAGATGGGGCTACTCATGCGAAGAAGAGTTTACAAGCTAGCTTCAACACTTTCAGCTTCTCTGACTTTAATTTTAATCTAAAACTCAGGTTCTGACAGATTCAGCTCATCTGTTTAAGAATATAATAAGTGGATATCATAATCATCTTATGCTCCCACTGACTTAGTCCAGGGCTTAAATAGAGAAAATGGACTGAAATACTCTCTAAGAACAGGGAGTGCTTAGTCCACACTTCCAGATGAGGTAGGAAAGGTAGACAACTGAAAACATGGAACAAATGAATATTCTGACCATGAGTCATCTGTCATAGAGAACACCCACCAACCACTTGGTCTTTAATACCAAAGATGCAACAAAGATCCTGGATAGTCCTAATTGTAACAGGATGCCACAAAGAATGTAGCTTCTCGTAGAGTCCTAATGCACAAAAGTCCTAATTCACATAAATTTGAAATAACAGCAGAAATGTCCAGATTTCACAGAAGGCCCAGGCAGCTTACAGCTCCCACTATAACACCGTATTAATGAGTTGCAGTATCTTGTGCTTGTTTCGTTTTTTTTGAATGGTCTAGAAGCTTCCTGTTCCATGTAGAGCTAGTGTATCTATTTCTTCTTAATTTTTCATAGAAAACAATGAACAAGTACCATAGAAGAGGAAGTGGGATTCTTCTATTTAAATTCAGCTTGTACATTTTCTTTTCTTTTTGCAGACTATAGTTTAATTGATTGCTTCTGTCAGAACTGCCTGAGGACAGGGTCATCATGGTATTTAGCAGACAAGAGTGATCAAACTGAACATGAACGTGTCTACTGCCAATAGTACAAAACAGTCGGGGAAGAAAAGGCACATATTCTCTCTGGTTTCACTCCTTTTTCTGCCCATGATGAACGTGCTATAATAATTTCACTTCCACTTTGTGTCAGGATGTAAAACTATCATATGACTGAACTTGGTACATGAGCATTCAGTATTCTACAAATCTGCAACATTTCTTACCGTAAACAATGACTGTTGTGTTAACAGCTTTGATTGATGGCCCGCTCTTCACGTGGCAGGTATATTGGCCTTTATCAATATCGCGCACTTTGTCAACAACGAGGATACTGTAAAAAATATTGGCCTCTGTATTCTTCTGGTCAATGCGCTGTGTTACAGAACCTCTCTTTCTTGCCTATAAAAGCAAAAATGAACAAGAGCGAGCTTAATCAAACCAATTTTCATGATTAATAAGATTTTTATTTTACTGTAATTCCACTATAACCGTAATAAAAAAATCCAGATCCTTCTGTACAGCACAGATATGCAAAAGACTCCTAAAATTTTCAGAGGATCAACAATAAAAATTGTAAGTAACATTATATGTCAATTAATTTCTATCTTCATTCTATCTATCTATTACAACCGAAGTTGTAATAGCATCCAAACTAGTTCTCTCCAGACACAAATCATCCCTTCTTATGGTTTGTCATACCAATACGCCCAGCTCCCCGTTGCTCCTTGTCCAGCACTGCTCATAAAAATCCCCAGAGCCACTGGCACGTAGTTTGCTGCATGGATTCAGTGTCCATAGGCAGCAGATGTATAGAAAAAGAGGACATTTACACAAGAAGGGGAGAATCCTGGAAATGCTGTAGACGGAAAAGGGACTAGGTTTGGCAAGAGAATAACAGGGTGGAACTGAAGATAATGTGAGTCTGAGGAGTTATTTCCTGCAACTCGCCCTCAGCCTTTGGCCTTAAAGTTTATTTAACCCAGGACATTGCTGGTGTCTTATAAACACTGAGCACCCTTCAGTTACCATCCAAATAAAAACAAAGCAGAATTTCACAAGTGTGGTGCCTGGCTAGGGCTTGGTAAGGCAGCAATGAGCAATATAATATATTTGGAGCATTTGTTGCCGAGTTGTTTATTTCTGAGGTGAAAAAATGCCAAGGAAAGTGGCTACAGTATACAAGAAACGATTGCATTAATCTTCCCTATATAATGTAATCATAATTTCAGCTTGTGGTTAGGCACAATGAGTGACATAATAAATGACCTTCACTTGAATCACCAGCATAAATCAGACTGACATGAAAGGAATGGGAGTTGTAAGCCTTAAACTAATGTCAAATTTCTTATCAGCTTTACACGGACTCCCTGGCAGTTATTCTGTAAGCGACAAATATTTATGAGGATGCTCCCAATGTGGGGGGAGGAGAAGCACATTCAAGATCATTCCTGTAGTTGTCAAAACAAGAGGATTGTTCATGTGACATTTAACAAATGAGATTTTGGCTAGCTAAATCAAAATATCTTTTCTAAACATGCTCAAGTCGGGTGCCTGACTGTCTGCCAGTCTTTTAAATGGATGTGCTGAGAAAGAGAGCGTCACCAAAAACAGTTTTGTTTCAAGAGAGAGCCCCTGCCTGGGACTCGGTTATAAATTTCTACCATTTCTCCAGGTTGAAAAGAAGCTCCCAGGGATGGAACAATTCTAGTGTTCACTTGCAGTTATGCAATATATCCAGAGTACATTGTGTAAACATGTTTACTTATTCAATTAAGCACCAGAAAGAAAAAAAAGAACCCTTTAAAGACGTGTCAGCAAGGGTCAAAATGATGGAATGCGAACCACGGCAAGCATTTCGAGGCAGAATTCCTCCCAGGATGCTAGATGCAGCATGATCTATGGGAAACCCCTGGTTTCTTCATTTCAACCACAGCACTCACCTCTCCAGGATAAGTCCATGTCATCTGCACTCTGGTGTTCCAGGCTGCGGTGACGGTGCAGTTGATTGCCAGGCTGTCTCCTCTCAGCAATTTGACAAGACGTGGAGTGCTTAACTGAACATCAAAAATTGTGTTGGCTGCAGGTGACAAAGAGAAAGGAAAGTGAAAAACATCAGCAGGGCAGAGTGCTTAATGAAAAGACGGGGAGTGGAGAACACCACTTACTTTCTCTGTGCGTTAGGTACTTTGTGCTATACTTGTGCCCACCGATGGTTGTTTCACAGCTCAGGAGCCCTATGAATTTGTAGGTTGCCTTAGGTATTCTGAAGCCTTTCATGCTGTCCCAGATTATTGTCTTGCCATCAGGAATTAGGGTTTCGCGTGGAATCTGGAAGTGTCAAACACGTGTCATAAAAAACAACTCATCCTCATGCCACTCTCTAATCAAAGCAGCCTAATAAAAAGGAATAGGAAAAAAAAGCCTAAAAAATGCCAATCAAAGTAGAAAGGATGACATTTAAGTATGCATATTTTTCAAGTCACATTTTCATCACAAAATAGAGGAAAAATCTGGGTGAAGAATGTGAATGTTTTATTTCTTTCCAAGATTTCATTATTTATAACAGGATGTAATTTATGACACAATGGATTGACACTATCATTAGCCTCAGTGCTTGCGCTGCTATTCTGTTGGCTCCCAGTTGGCAGCTAAAGTGCTCCTCTTGGCAAACCTTTGCAATTAAGTATCCTGGTTTTACCACTGAGACACAAATACACATTTTTCAATGGAGGTGACAAATAGACTTAATTTGCTGTCATTTTGTGGCTTTAATAAATTCCTGACAGGATTCAATCCGATGCTTCTCACATTTATGTTGTCTAAAGAACTGGACTGCTTGAAAAAAAAAAAAGTTAAGCACATGAACACTTGTTCCAAAGCTGACAGGTCACAGAGTACATGTCTCTAAGTAATTTCATACAATATGAAGTGCAAACTTTGAAGCCACAAATCTTCCTTGGGCACTTTTAGTGAGAACTACTGATCATACTGAATGAGGAAAGTCATATTGACTAGAGATTTTGAAAGGATGCTTTGAAACACTAAATATATTACATTTCCACAGAAAAAGTGTTCAGCATATTTTAAAAATTTGGCACTTTTAAGTCCCTCAGAAGCTGAGGACCCAACAAGTAATTAGTGTAAAGCCATCAGGTGTTTTTAAACTTGAGACCTGAAATCTAATACAGACTAAAATCTTGCCACGTGGGATCAAGTGTTCACTTTGTCAGCAGTACAAGTTATATTTTACACTAGGATCCTTTGAGTCTTAAGCCCCATTTTAATAAGGTATCAAGAAAACCCTGAAAAGGCAAAGCAGGACATAGGCACTGAAGCTCAGACAAGACCTCTTGTTTTCACACCATGTTTTTTTTGTTATGCCTTATCAATGGAAAAAATGCCACCGTTTGGATAACACAGAGATCAGCCATGAGTACAAAGCCTGGATGTAAGTCTACTTTTATAATAATATGCTATTTTTACCATAAAAGCAGATTTTGAAGATGGCACAGAGCAGAGTTTGAGTGAATCAGTGCCCTAAGCAAAGACCTCTGGGTCAGCTAAGCACCTTGCAGCCCATCACCTCTCGCTGTGCATCCAGTCTCACTACGTCCCCTTCATCTCTTTCTTGCCCTTTATTTGAGCTGAGGACTTATGTGTTGGCCAGCCCTCTCCTTCCTATGGCCAAAGCCAGCATGGGTGGCTGCCAGAGGCTGGGGGAAGCGTGGCTGCCTGGCACCTTCCTGCGTGGTACAGCTTCTCTCAAAAACACGGCACCCTCGATGCTGCCTGCTCAGCGCACGCTGAAAGCTACCCTTGAGATCACCTCCACTCATCTCATGCCATTTCCTTCAACAGAAATGCATGATGAATCAAACAAACAATAATTACAGAGCACAAAATGCTGTGGTAGAACTCCTTATCTTTACAACAGCTGATAAGACGCTATAATAAGCATGCAAATCATGGGGGAAGTGTGTTACACACACATACAAGTAAAGCCCATTCCACTACAGCCTGCTGGCTACCATTCAACAATATCTTGGACTCCAAGAGCTCTGTTGCTATTCCTGTTCTAAATAAAACAAATATTCAAGCATTGGTTTAACTAGTTCATAGTTATGTTTCCAAGGGCTTCAGCTGGATTTATCTTTTTGCTGCTTTGGTGGAAATCAAACTGTTTCTGAGCATATTCCTCTATAGGCTTTCGTATGTGCTGTGAAGAAAGAGCCAAGTCAGAGCCTCAGAGCCTCTAGACTGACATTTGCCAGGGAATGCATTCACTTCCCATTAATCAGTTAACTGATGGATTACTAAATTTGCCTTAGCCTTACTCCAGGAATGGGAAAGTAACCAAAACACCCAGGAAATGTCTGGGTCTTGGAAATACAGTGCTCATAAATATGATCCTGTTTTGCAACACAATGTTGTGCATTGTCTGTGTACCCAACAGGGTGACCTGCCCCGGAGGCAAATCTTTGCCTGCACAGTTTACTCATCTGACACCCCTGAAAAACAACTAGAGCTACATATTTTTTTGTAATTTCTTGCACCTTTGAGACTAAGAAGTTGCACGCAGTTACACATGAAAGCATAACTCGACACTTTTAAGTTACTGTAAGGAAAACTTTAGAAAACTGAAGTCTATGAATAGCAAAAGACCACTGTGACACAGCTGGTCTCTGGCTAAGTCTTGTGGGGGGAGAAAACCAAGATACTGCAACAAGTCCCTTTCAGAGGGTGGAAATACCAGGAATTTGCCTCAGAAGAGAACAAGGGTGGTGGCTGGGTGCTCACCCTCACAGCCCTTCACAGCTCTACCCTCTCTCCTTACTTGCTTCAGTTTCTTACCCAGCTCTCCTCCATGCTGTTCTCCTCTGCCAGCCTGAGTGGTTCAGATGACCTGTTTCCCACTCTCAGAGAAGCACAGTTTCTTCGCTCTGCCCTAAGCCAGCTTCCAGGCCACACCTAGAGACATGGCATCATCACCATGATGATTACTGTATGGATTGTACAGGACAGAGGATCCCAGAATCACACAATAATTTAGGTTGGAAGGGACCTCTAGAGGGTCACCTGGTCCATCCCCCATGCAGAGCAGGGTAAATGTAGTTCAGGGCCTTGTCAAAAAATTTGGCCGTTTGGTCACCACAGAGAGAAGGAGAAAACCTATGAAGAAACACAGTGCTGGAACAGTGACATTTCCACTGAAGCAGCAGAAAAATCCAGCTAAAATAAAAGCTTACAGATGGGTATCAGCAGATAATCAGAGGCGTTCAAAGAATCAATTTGTTGCAATGGCTGCAGTAAACATGGAATTTATTGTCTACATATTATCTACATGAACCACATCACTGTGGCTCCCAGTGCAGTCTTGGCCTTTTACCTTCTTTGTACTTTTCAGTTTCTTTTGGTCTAGGCTGTGCCTCCTTCTTTGCTCAGCACCAACCACTGAACCTTTTTGGTACCCAGTGGCATTAACACACTACTACCGCCAGGTTTTGGGTGTATACATATGGTCAAGAGTATATAGTCAAGCTGTAGTACCCCACATCTCCAAAGACAGACTGTATTTGAAAGAACCAGCTGAAAACATAGTAAAAATGTACATTAGAGTTTTGAATGCTTGTCTTTTCTTTCATGTTTCCCCTCCATCAATCTGGGAAGGATGAGGTGGCATTATTAAGAATTCAGGCTGTCTAGGTGTATGACTCAATATCCTTGGGTTTTTTCCCTCTTTTTATTCCTTACGCTGAAGCTTATTTACCTCTATTACTGTGAATGTCATTATTGACTTTATGACAGAGAATCCAAAAGGACGGTAAACAGAGGGATCAAACCATTGTACCAAAAGATGAAGCTTTCTCTGTTTAGCAAGGTAAGAGCAAATGAAGAGGCAAGACAAGTGCAAGAGAAGTGTACATCTTTGTTGAAATAAGGTTTATCTTATTTTAGGGATCTTGAGTGAGGCTGCCAGAAACATATTGACAGGAATGATGGTTTCAGAGGCTCTGAATATCTATCTATTATGTATTAGATCAAAACTATCAATTGATTTCACAGGTCTTCATATGAAAGGGCCATCACCTATTGCAGATATAGGTTATAACACAACCTGAAGGCTGGATTTGAAACAGGAACAAAAAACTCTATCCCCATTTCCCAACCTCTGTTTTATTAGCTTCTTGATTTTTAAGACTCCTCCTACATTGTATATGATTGCCATGATATAGAATACAATTTGTGCAGATATTCAACCTGGAAGTTAGAGCAACACAGTATCTCAAAAGGGTTGATTAAGGTAAAGATGCAGTTTTAGTAAAAAAAAAATAATTTGTAATGTTGAAGATGGATAATAAACCTTTCCCACATCAGTTCTCAAAAACTAAGAAGTAGCACTGCACAGGAACAAAATGCTGGAGGCGGCTCTCATGCAACTGTACTGAGTCCCTTCAGAGAAGAGACATTACCAAAAAATATTTCATAATTTTACTGCCTGGCAATATAGAATGCAGAACCTAATGACTCTAACGCTGAGATTTTCTTGCAGCTCCAGGATTGCATTATGGGGACACCGACTTCTTCCTTTATCGCTGAATGGAAAACACAGAATAGCTTTTGCTGGCTCTCTAGAAGTAGTATGCCTGCAGCTGTGAAATGATTTAACACATCTCTTAATTGTTATGTGAGCAAAAACTTGCTGGAATCTTCATATATGGGTGCCACAGATGGTAAATAAAGAAAGATATGATGTAATGCATTGTAGCTTACAATCAGCTTCAGGAAATTCTGGGATTAATTAGAGAACACATTTATTTTTCCTGGAATGCAAAACATGTAAGCAACCAATCCTTTCTTTCAAAACTTGGCTCCACCTCCTCTTTCTCCTTCCCAGAGTATTACATCTGGTTTTGATGGTGTAAAGATGTGCCTTACACCACAACCCCAAGCTAAAGGCAAGTTGATATGAAAAAAAGAGAGTAGATATGTCTCATTCTCTTCTAAATAAGGAGAAAAATATTATTTTTATATTGTTTAATAGTACAGAAACTTGACAGGAATATTCTCCATTAGGAATTTAATCTGCTGAGATTTCAGATGCACCACTACAGTGCCCAAATAAGTTCCCACTTTACAACATCCGCCCTATGGAAAGCCAGACCTCATTTATTATTCTATAGCCACAGAATCTTATGCATCATCCGCCCCTGGTGAACTTCTAGTAAAAGAACCGTGTTTGTGTGTGTGTGTACACACACATATAGTAACATTGTAGGTCAGATTATTTTCTCCGCATTTTTCTGTTTTTCATGTGATTTAACAGGTGGAAACCAATAAGTAAAATCAGTATCTATATTGGCAAAACAGCACTGCATAGAATTTGTAAAGCTCCAGGTCAAGTTGAAACACAGGATCAAATCTGTGGCTGGTGTAAAACTCCATAGTCAAAGAAGAATCAAAGACTTGTATTGATCTAAATAAGCATCTTACAGTGGTATTATTTGGCAGTTGCACGTTACTCTATCAAAAGACAGATCTCTTTTCCTTGTAACTGTAATGAACATGTAGAAATAATGGACATTTATACCACTATGTACAGAACTCCTTTTAATTAGAAACAAAACATCACTGTCGCATCCACCTAGTTTTTAAGCCAAACAAAGAACTTTAAAAAAAGCACCACCATTCTCTGCCTTGATACCAGGTACTTTACTACATACATATAGGTCAGTACTGGCCATGTAACTTTGGGCAGGTTTCGGTAGCAGGGGCTGCAGGGGTGGCTTCTGTGAGAGGCTCCAAGAAGCTTCCCCTGGGTCCGACAGAGCCAACGCCAGCCGGCTCCAAGACAGACCCACCACTGGCCAAGGCCGAGGCCATCAGTGATGGTGGCAGCACCTCTGGGAGAACAGAGTTAAGACAGGGAAAAAAATCACCTGCACAACTGCAGCTAGAGAAGAGAGGAGTGAGAATATCTGAGAGGAGTGAGAACATGTGAGAGGAGCAGCCCTGCAGCCCCCAGGGCCAGGGCAGCAGCAGGGGCAGGAGGGGCTCCAGGCGCGGGGGCAACGGTTGCCCGGCCGCCAAAAAAAAATGAAGCCCACGGGGAGGCCAGCTGTGCCCCCGCGGCCATGGAGCTCCACGGGGAAGCGGATCTCCACCTGCCACCTGGGGAGGGCCCCACGCCGGAGCAGGGGGATGCCCAAAGGAGGCTGTGACCCCGTGGGCAGCCCACGCTGGAGCAGGTTTTCTGGCAGGACTTGTGACCCCCGAGGGGACCCAGGCTGGAGCAGCCTGTTCCTGAAGGACGGCACCTGTGGGGGGACCCAGGCCGGAGCAGCTCATGAAGAACTGCAGCCTGTGGGAAGGACTCAGGTTAGAGCAGTCCGTGGAGGACTGTCTCCCGTGGGAGGGACCCCACGCTGGAGCAGGGGCAGAGTGTGAGGAGTCCTCCTCTGAGGAGGAAGGAGCGGCAGAGACAAGGTGTGATGAACTGACCGCAACCCCCATTCCCCGTCCCCTTGTGCTGCTGGGAAAGGAGGAGGGAGAGAAATCGTGAGTGAAGTTGAGCCAAGGAAAAAGGGAGGGGTGTGTGGGGGAAGGTGTTTTTAAGATTTGGTTTTATTCCTCATTACCCGACTCTGATTTGATTGGTAATAAATCAGACTGATTTCCCCAAGTTGAGTCTGCTTTGCCCACGGCAGTAATTGGTGACTGATTTCTCACTGTCCTTATGTTGACCCATGAGTCTTTCATTATATTCTCTCTCCCCTGTCCAGCTGAGGAGGGGAGTGATTAAAGCGGCTTTGGTGGGCACCTGGTGTCCAGCAGGGTCAACCCACCACAAATTCTCAAGGCACCAAGGCAAGAAATAGTTTCCCCAAAACATGAAAAAATGTCTAGTTTTTTTTCCTAAAACTGGCCCCACTGTCTCAAACTGCACAA